CTTCTTTATATTTTTTACACTAATTACCCCCATTTAACATCTTTTCAACCGGAGTACCCCATTTAGTGAAAGTTTTCTTAGTTTTTACCCCCCTTTTGAAGTTTTTTTTGGTTGTGGATAGTTCCTATAGCGGTTCTTTTGCCGGAAAAAAAGTGTGGACCCATGCAGCACCTGGAAGCGTGTACGAGCTCTATGTTCAAATGGTGACATGTATTATTTGTACAGAAAGAGCAGAGTTTGACACTTAAAAATACAACTATAGAACCCAAAAAAGAAGAAAAGAATGCGCATCGCAAAACAGTCGTAAAGTGACTTTATTGCTCAAATCCTTATTTTAGCCATAGTTTACATGTCACACTTTTGTTTTGAGAGCTACATCAGCTGTGGCACTTATGTGCAGCAACAAAAGGCTAAAAGGGACACCACACTTGCAGTTCAATATTCCTCCTCACCTTACCTTGCACCCACCAAACCCACGCACGCGCGCACCGACGACACAAATTAATAATCGAAACTAACCTGTGCATTAGCGACCACGAATTAATTCGATGATTCTTGATGATCACTGCTCCTAAACCCCACAAATGCAGCTTAGAATTGCCGTACGCGGCGTTGTCATGCGTACGTCGGTACGTAGGGTGCGTCCATGCACGCGGAAAGCCTCTCACGGCGGCGGCAGAATGCAGCCGTCGGCGCCGCAGTGCACCGGCGGGCGGTGCTCGAAGGCGATGCATTGCTCGTGCGACCGCTGGTGCGGCCAGTCGGGGATGCAGTTCATTCGGTCGTCGCGCCGGGGGACGTGGAGGCAGGACACCGGCTCCTCGCAGAAGTAGTTGCCCACGACCGTCAGGTTCTTCAGGTTCGGCAGCAAGCAGATGGTCTCCGGCACCGCGCCGGACAGCATGTTGTACCCCACGTTGATCACCTCCAGGCTCTCCATGTCGCCGATGCTCTCCGGCAGCTCCCCCGCGAACTCGTTGTGGCTGAGGTCCAGCACCTTGAGCTTCTTCAGCTTGCCGATCTCCGGCGGGATGCAGGAGCTGATGCTGGTGTTGAGCAGGATGAGCTCGACCAGCGTGTCGGCCATGTCGCCGATGCTCGGAGGAAGGCAGCCGGCCAGCTTGGTGTTGGCGAGCACGATGACCGACGCCGTGGAGTTGGTCAGGCTCCCCGACGCCAGCGACACGTTGAAGCGGTTGTCGTTGGCGAACAGCGCGTCCAGGCTGAGCTGCCGGCCGAACACCGCGTCCGGGAGCTCGCCGTCGAAGTCGTTGAACCGGAGGTCCAGGTACTTGAGCGACGGCAGAGAGGTGAGGAAGGACGGGAAGGGGCCGGAGAGGAGGTTGTTGCTGACGTCCAGCTCGAAGAGGAGGCGCATATGCTGCATGGACGTCGGCAGCGTGCCGTGGAACCGGTTGGAGTTGAGGTGGAGAACCGCGAGGTCGGCGAGGAGGCCGAGGTGGTCGGTGAGGACGCCGGCGATACGGCCGTGGTTGAGGTCGACGCCTGCGACGGTGAGGATGCACGGGTCGTCCGGCGCGGCGGCGCAGAACACGCCGGTGTAGTTGCACACGAAGGGGCCGCACCAGTCAGCGGTCAGGTTCTTGGGGTCCTCGGTGATGACGTGCTTCCACGCCTGGAAGGCGATGTACGCCGCGTCGAGGCGCTCGTTGAACGGCGAGAGCGGCAGGGACGGCTGCGCCGGCGTCGGGGAGGGGGAAGGGGAGGGGAGAGGTTGGGGGAGACATGGGAGCAGGAGGGAGAGAAGGATGATGTGTTGGAGAGCTCTTGTGGCTGATCTTGGCTTCGAGAGGGGTGACATTTTTGTCTAGATTCTGGGTGCCTAATTATGAGCCTGGGACTTTGGGAGAGAGATGAAATGTGTGTACTGCTGTGGTAGAGTCTTGGATTTTCGGGTGGTTATATATACTGGTTTTTGGGTGAGGGGTTGGAGAAGATGATCACTAGTTTTGCATAGTCATGGATGTTGACTTGATTACATAGTGTTTTTCTTTACATATTTTTAAGGTATCTTATTTCTTTATTCTTTAATTTGTACGTGGATGCCATGCCTATTAAAGGGTTGTTTAGTTAGCATTTGAACACCAAAATACTCCAACAACAGACTTTGCGGGAGAAACTTCCGAGGTATTTATAATCAACCATGACAATACAAAGAACGTCAAAGGTAACAAAAATTGCAAATAGATTCGTCCACCACCTAGTGACGTCACAAGCACGGGAACGAGTCGAAGGCACACCACCGTCGTCGCTCCTCCCTCACCGGAACCGTACAAATCATGTTGTAGTAGACTGTTAGGGAGTCGTAGTGTTAAGGCCCCATGAGACCAGCGCACTAGGTAACAACCAACATCGATGAATAAAGTCGTAGATTGAAAGGATCAAACCTATAAACACTCAAGCAAGCACAAATAAGACTGGATCCAAACATATCCACCAAAGACCAGCACCGATCAAATCCCGTGAGATCCGGCGAGACACACCTTCGCACACTCTCCGATGATGCTAGACGCACCATTGGGGCGGGGATCGGACGTGGGAGGCATTAAAATGCACAATTGCTAAAGTGACTATAGCTCAAGCCTACATGACTTCTTTGAGTCATATTCTTGATAGATATTATCTATATTTATACCTGCATTTTTTTCCTTTGAAAACAACCCAAATCTAGGATCTATTATAAAATTAAAAGAACAAAACACCCAAAACATAATAAAAATTATATCGAGGTCTCTGAACTATCAAGCGATCATTATCGTCACCAGAACAAGCCACCGGCATGTGGTTGTTGTCGTTCCCCTACCGAAGCCGGCCTAACCTTGTCGATGACAACCGGGAAGTCTTTGTGCACGTGCCCCTAAGAACCAGCGCCCTGAAGCTATAGTCATCATTGCTGAACTCTTGAATCGATCTAAATGGTTTGGCATCATCTCTCGTCGTCCTGCATGCACGGTGAGAAACCCTAACCTCTCGTCCTAAGGAGACAGGAAGAATCTATATCGGAGCTTCGTCAACTCCTTCTCGAGCGATGAACTCGAGGAGGATTGGAGCTCAAAGATGAAGAGCCATCATCTACCCGAGTGACGCCCCTTCAGAGACCAAAAAACTCTCAACTTGAACTACTAGCCGGAGTAGAGGCACCAAGATTACTCGTCGCGACCGTCCACCAAAGCGGGGGCAAAGGGGAGGTGAATCCGGGGGCAAAGGGCAAGTTTTTTTCGCCCTAGTGATCGCTTTCGCAAGGACACATATGTTGTTTCTTATATATGGCTATATTTACATCTGCATTCAACTCTACAAGATGAGTGATACATGTGTGTATTACTACGTTGCCACTCATCCACCTTATATTTTTAACTGTGGATACCCAAGAGCGGTAGGAAACAGAGAAAATGATTGTGAGCATGCAAGTCTACGGTTTTGCTATTTCTGAGGCGACTGTTGAATACATATTGTAAAGTCAAGTGTAAGAATTGTGATTCCTGTAAATACAAAGCAGTGTGAAGATCATCATCGCACGACTATGAATGTCGATTGGGAAAGAACTATTTCTAAGCCGATTGAGAATAGTTGGTCACAAGTATTCATTACTTGCATAAGATTAGTTGTAGACAAATACCCTCTCTGTCCAAAATAAGTGTCGCCGATTTAATATAAAGTGGACGGACGGAGTAGTGGTATTTGGTGGGTAATGCTAGGTGATGTTTTAATATGAACATGCATGCTGAAGCTTAAATTACACTCACGAAATCTTTTTTGAAGAGCTAGATGGTATATTTTTATTTGGTCAATTTTAATAATGATAGCTATGGGCCTATGGGGCATCATGTCAACACCATGTAGATACGTCATCCTAGCTTGGACTAAAACATCTCATCGTTTACACTACTCCGCGGCCACCGGCCCTTCCTGAGCTCCGAGTCGTGCTCATCGCCATAGCCTTACCAGCTATGTCCCTATGTGTGGTGGCATCATGTCAGCACCGTGTTCCAGTCCCTACCCTCGCCGCTACGTTTTCTCAGCCTGACATTCTTTTTCTGTTGACTCCTGCTGCTAGATTTGCCGCCGGCCTTCTACTTGGTCATCTCTGCTGTCATATCCTCTTGCTAGTCATTGGTGACCTACGGTTGTGTTGGTCCATTCGCGGCTCTCTTCTCGCAACAGTGGTAGGTTCATAACTAATAGGATGGCTGCTCAAACTTGCAAAAAAAAAAAAAAAAAAAAACAACCAGTGCAATCCCCAAAACTAAAGGGTTTGCATATCAAAGTCGACAACATCTTCATATTTAAGAGAAATTACATAATAATCAAGAAAAGAACAATTTGATGTGACAAGAAATCATGTCTGTTCAAAACATGGTTCAAAAATTGTTGCAGACAGAAGGCTAGCCTCAGATAAATGATACTAGTGTCATTTGTAGCCCTATTCAACTTTGAGTTCGTTTTACCTTTCAACCGTGTAATAAGGGATTTTACGGAAATTGCTCTGAGCTCCGTGGAGCCCGGGTTTTGAAAAATAAAAAGCTGTTTTTTAGGTTAGTTTTTTTTAAATACACACATACCTACGGATGTATACAACTTGTCTATAAAGTTTCATGGTGAAATACCTTTTTATGCAAGCTACACAAAATAATAAAAAAATCATGTATCCAGCATATTAACTATTCGCTATACCAATATATGATTTTGTTTTTTTGGCTCACATCAAAATGTATTTCATGATGAAATCTTACACACATCAAAATGTTTTTAAAGTTTCAACTCTGAAACTTGATATGAGCGACGGAGAAAATCATAAATTTCAGATGCAAAATCATAAGTTGCAAAGATTAAAACTTAAAACATGTGCAGGATCCAACTACTTTGTGGATCACAAGGCGGTCGGATGGTCTAGAAGGGCGAGGTAGGTGTGCGCCCCTGCACCTGCGTGCCCCTGCGAACTTACGTCACAACATCAAGTTAGCTAAAAGCAACCATAGTTTGTGAATCTGTGATGTATGCAACAAACAAATATCTTATCTTGTCTGCCTATCAGCATACGTGGCTTAGATGAATGCTTGGCCACTGATTTCTTGCCAAAAAAAAGTCCCCGCTCCTGCAATCAGGATTAACACAAATTAAAGGTCTAACGAATTCTCAGTTAGTACATCAACTTGCAATTTCTCTTGATTCATGCATACCAAACGGGCCCTCGACACTCTTTGGTGCAATGATATTATAGAGTTTTCCGTACCTAGTATGGCCATTATTTATGCTGCAAAACTTTTGGAGATCGACCCATGAATAAGTGCTTGTACACTAGGACAATACATTTATTTGATTGCAACACTAGCTAGGACAACCGATTCTAGCAGCACTAGGCACAAAAAAGAGGGATTCAGGTGAGAGGTCATATGGCTCCGGTCTCCATCCCCATTAAGATCACGGTGAGGTCAGGCTTAAGCTTCACAGTGCGCTAGCTATAGCTAGAGGCCGAGGTAGGGTTCATGCGCCGTCTCATCCCTGGCTGGTGTAATTCTCACGCATATGGTGCGAGCAATCACCACAAGATTTTTAGAAGATATTTAGGTGGGAGACACACTGCTAAGCCATCAATACCGTTTTTGTATAATATACTCCTTATATCAAGGAACGGAGGGAGATATTGTCCAATGCAAATATGTTTTCAACGGGGTAATAAGGGTTTGATGGTGTGCATCATAATGATGTTGGGCCAAAGGTTTTAACCTCCAGTTAAAAAAATGCATGCTGATTTGGTAGATGAGGGCAAACTTTTTCATAGAGAATACATTTAGGAAATAAAGTTTGTGTCGAAGAGTGGTCTTTTCGGAAGACAACTTGGCAAATCACATATGGTAAGGGAGTAAGAAGTGCTGCTATTGTGATGAGATGAAACAACAACATTTATTCCCGTCTTTCATTTTGCCACCCTGATTTGATGCACTACACATGTGGTTTATAATTTACCTTTGCTTACAAGAATTGAGAATATGTTCGGCAACTAGTTAGCCGGGATTGACCCGAAGCTCAAGTGGGGGTGTACGCCCTTTGTTGGGCAATTTAGAATTGCGACAATAATTTTATTTTTAACATGATTAAATTTTCCAATGTTTTTACAAGTTATCCACAAGGTTACACACTAGATCCGTACATGGTGCTTTCTTCAACGAATGAAGGCATGGAAATCATTAATTTCTACTCCCTCTGTTTCGAATTACTTGTCGCAGGTATGGATGTATCTAGATGTATTTTAGTTCTAGATACATCCATTTCTACGACGAGTAATTTGGAACGGAGGGAGTAGATGCTACCGCTTGAAGATAGTTGTGCGGACCAGACTCAACCAATTTGGTTCTATTAATAATATGATTAATGAAAATAAGTGTCTCGTGTAGCTTTTCTTGCATTTTGGTTGTCTTAGCATTGCTCTACTATTGGATATACTTGATTTCATGATGTACTTGGCACTTGTTAATAAGAGATGGTTATGTGGCTTAATAAATATAGACGCCAGAGGTGTTCTCGCTTTTCAAGAAAAAATATG